TTTTGCATACTAGCAGATATTATTGAATGCTGCTCTTAGAGGAAAAACACTATTTAAACACCAATGCAACTAAAAATGACTTAAGCTTTTCTCACTGATAGGGTGGAGTTGAGATGAAGGCCATGACTCAAACATGCCCTGGGAAAAAAAGTATTGCAAGAGCCCGACGAGCTATAATTAGGGTATCATCTAAAATGGTTGTAACTACTTGTATTAAAAGTGCTATTAAAATACATCTCAATTAGAACCATTTAATAAAATGGTGTTCTTGGTCAAGCAAAATAAGCACTGCAATACCAAATAATATGATTTTAATGCAGGCTATCACATTAGTATGTGACATGATATGTAACAAACCAGTACCACACCTATTGTACATCCTGTGAATAAATGAAACTCAGTAGAATGGAAAATTGTGCTGAAAATAGTTTTGCTTTCCTAAACTAGAATCTCATTAATAAGGAAGAACTTACAGTAAGTACAGAAGCATCTTAAAGTATATTAAAGCTACTAACAAAATTGATCTCATCTCATAATGATACATGAGAAGACTAAATATGCTGTTTGCAACAAAATGAGACACCCTACAAGTTCTTGTATTAAAATAATGCTTAAATGTATATCTTAAATGCATAGCTTGCTTAATGTTATTTGTTTGTTGCGAAGTCGTGTCCGACCCATCGCAACCCCATGGACAACTTTGCTTAATGTTATACCTTTACTTAAATGTATAGCAATGCTTAATGTATAATAATGTAATATAATTATCACTTCATAAACCTAATATAATATTTCAACTCACAAATCAAAGATAATGTATAATAATGTAATGGGAGGCATAACGTTTACATCAAGGGTGAAATCCATCAGGTTCTGACAGGTTCTGGAGAACTGTTAGTGGAAATTTTGAGTAGTTTGTAGAACTGGCAAATACCACCTCTGGCTGTCCCCAGAATGGGGTGGGAATGGAGATTTTTCAATATCCTTCCCTCAGGAGTGGGAAGGGAATGGGGATTTTGCAATATCCTTCCCCTGGAGTGCGGTGGGAATGGAGATTTTGCAGTATCCTTCCCCTGTCATGCCCATCAAGCCACGCCCACCAAGCCAAACCACGCCCACCAAGCCATGCTTACAGAACCGGTAGTAAAAAAATTTGAATACATGTAAACACTGGTTTACATGTATAGTAAAGTAGATGATATAAACAATAAGTTAGAAGAATTAACCATGTTATTAAAAGCTAGAAAACTTTACTGCTAAATCATTCTGAATCATTTCTAGAATTTTAATTGTCAGTCCATCCGAGTAATGCTTGAGTTTTAAGACCATTATAAGAAGTCTTGATACCTCTCAACACAAGAAGCAATTCTTTCTGGCAATCTTGGTTACCTTTGGAAAAACAGTCTGCTACCCAACCAGCTTTTTTGCTCACTCATAAATGACAAGATGTGAATTGTAATTAATGCTCGATGTCATCTCCAAATGTGGGAGTTTGGGAGTGCCCTTGCAGTCATGTGATCAAAATTCAGACACTTGGCAGCATGTTTGCACAGGGTGCTGCAAACCACCTAAGTCATCCATGAAGGTGATTTCCTTGTGAAACGTGGGATGATGGCTTCATGCGGCCAGAAGTTGCCTAGTTGGCTAGGCAGCAGCAGGAGCAAGAAGTCAGTGAAGATCAGCTGAAGTGCCAAGAATTTTAGAGTGCAGAGTATCAAGGGTGGCTGGGACTAGGCTGGGATGGTTGAGGTTTTCCAGGGTGGCTATGGCATTGCACCGCACAATTTAGGCAGCTGGGGCTCCTCAGGTCACTGTACCTTTGCACCATGCTGCTGGGGTATCCAGGGACACTTTAGCTTTGCATTGTGCTGCTGGGGTGGCTGGGGCTTTCTGGGCACTGTGGCTTTCTGCTGTACTGCTGGGATGGCTGAAATTTCCAAGGGTGCCTGCAGTTTTGCGCTGCGCTGTGGTTCAAGGGTTTCTTGCAGTCCCAGATCTGTGGCGCATCAACAGGCCTCTGATCTGCAGTGTGACAAGCAGTTCCAGAGCTACTCAGTTCTGAGGCGACTTACTGCCCTGCAAGACAGGGTGCAGGGTAACCAAAAGGGTAGAGATGGGAGAATAGATAGATGAGGGAGAGTTTAAGATGAGGCACCTCACGAAAACTTGAGTCTTGAGGGACCAAGCCCGGAATTGGGGTGGGGTAGGTCCTCAACTAATGATTGATGGAATTTGATTAACAACGGCAATGGGGATTGCTGTAAGCGATGTGATCATGTGACATCACATTTTACAACTGCATTATTTAGTAATGGAAATTCTGGTCCCAATTGTGGTTATAAGTCAAGGACTACCTATACGTATATCATCATTAAATATACTACCTTCAGCTTTACCTATTTTTATATTACTGAAATGCACAAATGATCTCCACAGAATTTCTGGAAAATTGATACAAAGACCTGATGAAAGTTCAGTATACATAAAAAGAAAGCTAGATAGTAGACCGAAATAAAGTATAGCCAGAAGGACATTGCACCCAATAAATGCACTGCCACAAAGGACTTGCATTTTCTAGTAAGCCTGCCTTAGGCTGTTGAATTCAGAAGAAGATTATAATTTATTATGTACTGCTTATATTTTAAAATTCAGTTTTGAGATTCTTGGAAATATACAGGGATGAGATTGGAACAGTATAGAAATTATGTTAATAACTAAATACATAAAATAAGTCCTATGCTATGCTCATCTTCTGCTAGATTCAATATTTAGCTAGCTCTGGATTGAAATATGAGAAGTACATTAGTCTGACCACCTTGGGAAGTCACTCATCCAGCCAGAATCATAACACTGGGAAGAATCCTGGAACTCTTGGCATACCATCAGGAGATCGTACAAAATATTGATGTCATGGGCAGGTGAAATAAAAAAGAACAATGACAGGAATAGGGCAAAATTAAAGGAAGTTTACATTTTGTTTGTTTAAGGAGGTAAACATTTATTACATCAAAAAGCAAGGATGTGACGACTGCATATTTCATTGCATTTTTTGGAAAACCGAAAGTTGTCTTGATTTGGTTTGCCAACAAAAGAAAACATTGTGCATCACTGTTCATTATGAACTATAAAGATTGCACAAATAGTTTTCAATATCTGACATTTTGAACAGAAAAAGAAGTGACACAAATACTATAGTTTTTAAACAAAGAATGCAGTATATTACAATATGTAAATTAATTGTGTAGAATTATTGCCTTGGAATTTTAGGTTCTGATGTTTCATTAGGCATTTAAAATATAGAAAAGATACACACAAAGTCTCGATCAACGTTTTATAGCAAGTCACAATTTTTTAAATTTATTTTTTTTAAAGCCCAAAATATATAAAATGTACTGTAGGTTTATAGTACAGTACATTTTGGATATTTTGGTATTGGAGAAGACTCCTGAGAATACTGTGGAGAGCCAAGAAAACAAACCAATGGATCATGAAACAAATCAACCAGAGTTCTCACTTGAGGCACAAATGACCAGACTCAAACTTTCCTGTTTCAGACTCATTGTGCAAAGACTAAGCTCTCCTCAAATTGTTCTAATGCTGAGAAAGCTGGAAGGAAAGAGAAGAAAATGAAGAGTAGCTTAGTGGATGGACTCAGTTAAAGTGACAATAGGTACAATGTTGGAAGATCTGAAAGACCAGTTTACAAATAGTTCACTATGGAGAAAATCAATCTATGTGGTTGTTAGGAATTGAAAACGACTCGGTGGCTCATAATCAACCAATCAAATTGATGATCGTGTAAATTGTGTTATAATAAATTAAATACAGATAAGTCAAAAATTTCCTTCTGCATGAAAAACAAAGAAACAGAAAATATATTTGCTATCCAACCAAGTGTTCTGAAGGGAAAGTCCATCTTTAAAGTCTTTCCCAATTACCAAAATACTCTGAAAGGCATTTACCTGTTTAGATGTTCCACACAACAAGCTCCATATTAAATGTCTCTTATTGCAAAGACACAGATGCCATTTTCTATATTCCAGATCAATATGATATACATATGCATGACATAACAAGGTAGGAGTCTTCAAACCATAAAAACAACTGCTTAAATGTTTATAATTCCCACTTCCTGTTAGTTCTGAGCTGAAGACATGCATAATATAAAAATGCAGTTCACCAAGCCATACAGGTTTTTGTACTGTAAAGTGGCAGATGATACATATATAGATGAGCTTCCAGTGAAAGAATCAACCTTTATCCTGCATGCTTCATTTGATCTGCTATCTTCTGTTTTCAAAGAACTACACTTTGAAAAGCACTACAAATTAGTTTCTAAGCAGTCTTCTTGTTATTATATTTATGACTTAATTTTCCAGCAAAAAGCAAAGTAGTCAGTTTGGCTCAGCTCACAGCCTATGATATACATACTATTTATGTGAAGATTAAACATTGTGACAGGAAAGTTATTGTACAGCCTTACCTCTAAGATAATTATGCATACTCAGTTTCCATATTAGAAGGGAAATAATTGCTACTCTTCCTGCCTTCTTACTCTCTGACATATTTATATGAATAAGATGATATGAATACAAAAAAATAATGTTTTCCAACATACAGTACAGATTTAAGCCAACCCAATCAATTAACTTCATGGGGTTGAATAAGAATAGACATTTGATGGATAATATACCAACTCCTCCATCTAAATCTATCACAATAATTTATTTATTTTAAACAATTTAAAAATTTCCTGTATATGTAACTCAAAATAATGAACTTTTGTACTTTGTATTATGCAAATGAAAAAAAATAAATGGCCTCTTTTGTTTCTGTTAAAACAAGTTTATTGCTTAGCGCATTGTAAGCCCCCCTGAGTCTCCGGAGAAGGACGGCATATAAATCAAATAAAAAAAAAAGTTATTTCAGAATTTAGAATATATTAAGTGATTTTGTTTATATAATAAAATGTAGTACAAATACCTTTAATTGAATCTTACCTTTCTAAATGAAGATGGCAATGTAGACGAAGATATTGAATCCACTGAGATACCATAAGCGTACTGTGAATTTTGTATTGGAACCAGAGGTTGCTGTTTTTCCTGAGTAGCATACTGCATATCAGGCATGTCAAAATAGCTGAAAAATAGATTTTTAAGAATAGATTAAAATTTTGCTTTAAGAGAAGCTGAAGTATTACATTGAATTATATAAAAGGCAATGCATTTAAAGTTTTTGAAAACTCAAGCAAGAGCATGAAATTATTCACCACAATGCCTATAGGGTAGTTAAAAAGCAATTATTAAGCAGTTTATGCTCATCATTTAGATTATGCAGATAATTCAGCCTACTGAATTATAGCAATTTCCTCAGTTCGTTGCTGGTGTCTTCTTAAATGCTGTACACCATCCTCTTTCTGTCTGCACAAGGCAAGTCCTATCTAGATTCCATAATTTAAAGAAGTTAGGTTGATGATGGCAAGCACTACCAGAACTTTCCCATGGCAGCATCAGCCTAATGGAATTGCATTTGTAGGGAACTCTGCCAGACCTACTGATATTTAGAAGGCTAGTTAAAACCAAAGCTGTTCCCTGCAGTTTATCCCTGCAAAGATAAGTGTTCGCATAGTCACAATTTTAGGTTAGACTGGGTAATAAAAAATATGGCAGAAAAATTTTCATACAAAGCATGAAAAAAAGATAATGCTATATGGGGAAAAAATGGAAGGAAATAATGGCAATCCCCTTGCAAATTATGGAAGAAAACAACTTTGGTGTGCCATAAAGAGAGCAGGGGTAGAGCTTGGCTTGAAGGGGATATAATCTTATCTGAAGATGATATATAGAATGAAACAGCATATACTCAAATTAAGCTTGCAACTGTTTAAAATGTATAAAATATATTTGTTCTCTTGGCATTAAAAGAGTCATGCTGTATGGTTGGTTGCAAACTACTTTTCATCATGTTTCTCAGGGACAGATGACATTAGAAGATATAGAGCCCCAAGCTACTTTTTATTTGAACTGAGTTTTCCATCACAGTTTGAGGGCAGAGGGCAGAATTCACTATTCACTTTCCATCACTATTCATAGGTTTCAATGAAACCCTAACCAATGATTCCGTAGGCTGCTCCTGAATCTGTCCAGATTTTCTTATCTCAGAGTCTTAAGCTTCCACATTATGAAAAATTGTTTTTAGAAGCTGCTAGTGCTTCAGCAGTTCTAAGATATCTTTAGTGATCAGTCAGCTTATTTCTGAAGATCTTCCACTTTTGATGAAACAGCTTTGGAATGTAGAAGCCATGACACTGCCTCTTTCTATCCAACTATTTTTCTGTTTTCAGGAAAATTTTTGATTTCTATTGCTTTTGACGTTGCACGCCATCTATGCATTTCTGGATTTGGGTGGCCCTCTAAAATAAATAATTGCATACCTTCCATACATATCAAACAAAAATGCAGACTAACTCTGGGGCTGAGCAGTTACATGCTTCTGATTTTGTTCTTATAGAATTTAACTGAATTTTATATGACTGACTGCTGTACTTCTGATTTTACTGTCTTTATGATAAAAGTTGCTTTTCTTTAATGGATAATTTTAAATTAGCACTTCAAATTTTATTTCGTTCTTTCATATTGCAAAACGCAAACAGTTCTAACTCCAGTCTTGTCAGATATTACATGCCCTTGCCTGATCATTCCTGATATTTTCTTTTCTGTTTAAACTAATGGAATGTTACAAAATAATTCTGTTTGTCTGTCCATCAGCATAATTACTGTCTGAAAATGGAATAGCACAATATCAAATTTGGTATGGGAGAAGAAGCCAGCAAAAGAAAGTTGGACATTGAAAATTAGTCTGTTTGGGCCAATGGAAATGAGAAAAAAACCAGAAAACGTTCCCTCTTTTAGAATGACAATTGGGCAGCAGATAGAAATGCTGCTTACTAATCCAAAATTAGCCCAAATCACTCTGATCATGAGAATCAAAATGGAATCATTATTAAGGGGTTGAAAAGAATGCAAGAAGCCATGCTCCACATGTTTTACTACCATGTTAATTAATCAAATATTTCTATTACTTTCAACTCAGCTTTGCAAAATATGGCTTATTGACCAGAAGAAAGATAACTTCAGGTAAGAATATTTTGGCTAGAAATATCACCAAGGTAGCAAAAAGTTATATGTTAGGTGGCATATCAAGGAGAAACCTTCTTTTCATCACAATGTGCTCTGGAAAAATTTAACAGAACAATCCTTACGATATAACTAGGAAGATTGAAATCTTCAATCTTTAGTAAACTCTGCCATCTAGTGAATTGATTCTACTAAGCACTCATTATTTAAGTCCTAGAAATTTTTAAAAAATAGAAAAGGGTTAAGTAATGTTCCTTATGTGGTACATAAAATTAATTTTTGCTATAAGAAAGTAAGTTAAATGGAATAGCTAAGATTAAGCTGGGATTGCAGCAATATAATACAATAAACTGAAATGAGAATAAATTTTAATAAATGAATGTGTGTTTTATGCCATTTTTGAGGTTAGGTTTTGGTGGATAATATTTTTTTCTCGTGTTATCTTTTATTTGTTTATTAAATATAACTGTGCTTCAAATATTTTTTTAAAAATATACTTACAAATAATAACCAATAATGAAAGCCATGGGTCAATTAATCAGAATAACTATATCAGTGGTGGGTTCCTCCCGGTTCAGCCCGGTTCTCCCGAGCCGGTAGCGGTGATGACATAACATCACCGAACCGGTTTTGCCCCCCCTTCCCCCCCCGCGCCCCCCACCCCCCTGTTATTCTTACCTTTTATTTGGCCCCACCCCCAAACTATTGCTGCCTCCTGAGTCCCAGCTGATGGCTAGAGGGAAAAAAACTGTTTAAACTCTTGCCGCGGGGCTTAAAGGGCCGCCCTATAGCTGATCAGTGTTAAAAGAAAACAAATGAATAGACCGGTGTCTGCAATGATAAATGCCTGCAAAAATACATGAGTAGATTGGTGCCTGCAAAGATAAATGGGTAGATCGGTACAGCTCTGCAAGCAGTTAAAAGCCTGGTAGACCAGTATCTTTGCTAAATCCTAAATAATTGTCACATGACTATCAAGCCACGCCCACAAAATAAGCCACGTCCACAGAACTAGTAGTAGTAAAAAAATTTAGAAGCCACCCCTGAACTATATGCAATAAACTATTGCAAATTTAGGACCAACAACAAACAACCATGCCAAAAATCATCAAAAAGTTCCCAGGTATGTCAGCAAAGGATTTCCTAGACCACTAATGGCACTGCCAATTTGGAGAAGGATCGATCAATGCTTCACCCGCTGGTCCCTTGACCCTTCTCTTCCCCTTCTATTTTCTTTTTTAGTTCTTTATTGATCTTACTTTCCCTTCCTCTACCCCTACTCAGTCTCCTTGCTTATTAGACAGTGAGAACTTTCTTTCTAATTATATTAAGTTGAAGAGTCTGTCTCTGACTGATGCTGGAGGCAGCATTCTTGGTTGTATTTACAGCAAGATTTCTTCTTCTGGTGTTTAGTTATTTCCTATTCAAGCTTTCAATACCATATTTTCCTTTCCAGCAGCCTTCCTTAGCTCAGTGTCATCAAATCTACTAGATTACACAACTTCCATAATCCCAAACCAAGAGTTATAATATCAGGGTTACAAAATCTAGACTGATTGACATATACAATTTATACACTGCTCTAGTCCCAATGATTCTGGGCAGCTTACAATTAAAAACATTTTAAAAAGATAAAAGGTAAAAGAACAGAACAAAAATCATGATCTGAATCTGAAAATAACCAAAGCCATCCCAAACTCAACCTTCACTATAACCAAAGGTCTGGGAAGATAAGCAGATTTTTAGTAGCTTACCCAGATCTCTGGGGAGATATACCAGATTCAGGAGCCATGACAAAGAAGGCATATTACCTGGATCCCACTAAATGACACTGCTTGATTATTGGGATCTGAGATGCACCCATTCTGTCTATCCTCACTGAATGCATAGAAATTATGGAGGACAAGTGCTATTCAAAATTCTTTTACCGTATGCTACCATGGGCTAGCATCTTAAATTGCACCCAGAAGCCAAACACAATAGTTCTTGACTTATGACCAACTGAGCCCATAATTTCTGCTGCTAAGTGAGACATCTGCTAAGTGAGTTTTGCCCTGTTTTACGACTTTTCTTGCAACAATTGTTAAGTGAATCACTGCAGTTGTTAAGCTAGTTGTTAAGTGAATCTGGCTTCTCCATCGACTTTGCTTGCCAGAAGATCAAAAACGTGATCAAATGACACTGGGACACTGGGAAAGCTGCAACAGTCATTAGTGTGAAACAGAGTCATAAGTCACTTTTTTCAGTGCCGCTGAAAACTGGAAAATAAATGAACTGTGGTAAATTGAGGACTACCTATAGTAACCAGAGTAGTTGACATAGACAAAATGAGGGGCAGGCATCACTGCCTGAACCACTGCATTCTAATTGAGCTGTGGTTTCTGAATGGTTTTCATTGGCAGCCCCATGTTGTGCACATTGCAGTAATCCATTTCTAAGGTGAGGCCTGAGCCAGGGACCTAAATATTTGCAACTGCACAGTCATGTCAGGATTAAACTTGAGTCAGATGTTAAATAGAAGAAGTGAGAGCACTGGGCCCTGCCCAACACCCAAAAGATGACAGGATGTAGATTTGATCTCCCCCCTCTGTTAATGCTGACTGAAACTAGCTACAAGTATAAAGTAGAATCAAAAAGTAAAAAAGTAGAACCACAGAACAATGCCCTCTACTGCCAAATCTCGCAGCCAGTCTAGGAGGATATTGTGATGAATGGTATCTAAATCCACTGAGAGATTTAGGAATACAACGATGGTCAGAGTGCATCAGCAACAAAAGTGACTAATGCTCTCTTTATACTGTAATTTGGCTATGAAATCTGATTAAATGTTGTGGCCCGTCAGTGGCCTGTCGCAGTTAGTAGCTGATTCCGACAGTGAGGAGGCTGGTGTGGTGCTGGAGTCAGACAATGGGGAGGTTGGAGAAGATGTGGTGCCAGAGGTGGGGATTCAGCCAGGGCCTTCAGAACCTCCAGAAGCTCCCATAAGTGAAGAGGAAGAAGAGG